TTCTGTTCTATTCTGTTTTCTATTCTATCCTTTCTATTCTGTTGTCTATTCTATTTTCTATTCTATTTACTATTCTGTTTTCTATTTTCTATTCTATTTACTATTCTGTTTTCTATTCTATTTTTTATTTTGTTTTCTATTCTGTTTTCTATTCTATTCTATTCTATTAGCGAATTTGTAGCACTGAGACTTATGCTGGCTCTACGACCTGAAATAAAGAAACTGAATTGGACCCAGATATGGCAAAGGGTATATTTAGTGATCTATTTATTGGATGCCAACAGTGGGCACAGTCTATGCCAGGAAAGATAAACTGGCACCCTGAATCACACATATTTTGCAGCTGCCCTGCCAACCTCCAGCAACATTCATTTACAATACAGGTAAGTCCTCAACTTACGACCACAATTGAGACCAACGTTTATGTTGTTAAATGAGTTTTGCTCCATTTTATGACTTTGGTTGCCACATTTGTTAAGCAAATCGATTGCTATATTAGTAACAGGGTTAAGAGTCTGCTTTCCACACTGACTTTGCTTGTCGGAAGGTCGCAAAAGGGGAACAGCTGAGTCTGGGACGCTGCAACCGTCATAAATATGAATCCATTGTCAAGCATCTGCATGTAAAACACGGGACAGTGGGGATGCTACAACAGTCTAAGTGTGAAAAATGGTTGTAAGTCATTCTTTCAGGGCCATTGTAAGTTCAAATGGTCACTAAACAAACTTAACAGATAACAGACCATCAGAGTTGGAAGGGACCTTGTAGGTCATCTAGTCCAACCCCCGCCCAAGTGGGGAGACCCTACACCATTTCTGACAGATGGCACTTCAGTCTCTTCCTGAAAGCCTCCAGGGATGAAGCTCCCACAACTTCCAAGGGGGACTTCTGATCCATGGGTTGATTGTTCTCACTGTCAGAAAATTTCACCTTATTTTCAGGTTAAATCTCTCCTAGTTCAGTTTCCATCCATTATTCCTTGTCTGGCCTTCGGGTGCCTTGGAAAATAGCTTGACCCTTTCCATCCTCTCTGTGGTAGCCCCTCAAATATTGGAAGACCGCTATCCTGTCTCCCCGGGTCCTTCTCTTCACTAGACTAGCCGGGCCCAGTTCCTGCAACCGTTCATCGTATGTTTTAGTCTCAGGTCCCCTAATTTTTGTAAGTTAAGGGCTACACCTGTATTTGTCCATCATCTGAAACTCTAATTAGTCACTTACAGCTTACAGAGTTCCCATTTAGTAAAAAGGGAGCCTAGTGATTAATTAAGCTAACACCTCCACTCTTGTCCCCTTCAGTGAGGGGTTTCTATGTTCACAGCCATTAAAAGATTAAGGACATTGATCTATCCTGTACATTTGCTTACTTGGTTAACTTTGAAACTGCACAGGAAAGAGGTCAGAAATAGGCTACGCTATCAGAATATTTTTGTATTTTCGTCTCCCATATCATAGGTAGATAGATATTTGAAGTCTACTCCAGGGCTTTTCAATCCTGGCAATCCTAAAATATATGGTCTTCAACTCCCAGTATTCCCCAATTGGCATTTGTGGGCTTCCACTCCCAGAATTCCCCAGCCAGCACCCCCTAATGAGAGTTGAAGTCCACAAATGCTGGCTGGGGAGTTCTGGGAGCTGAAGTCCACGTATCTTAAAGTTGCCAAATATTGAAAACACTGCTCTAGAGTACCTGGTTTCTGTTTTAAAGATAATGATATAAAAAACCAAAAGCAATCTGATGAATGTACTTGCCCTCGGTACCCATAACTATGCTTGAAAATCAGCCATCTTCCCAATTTGTTGATTTAACATGCTATTTTTCTGTCAAAATACATATCCTGTTCATTATCTACATATTATGTCATTAATGTACATAGAGTTACACTGCTCAGATTGACTCAATAGTGAGATGGGGGCGGGATATAAATTTAATAATAAACAATAACCTGTGGAGGTACAATAAAGGTGACCAGGGAACAATTAGCGACAAATAAAAAGAGTGCAACAGAATCCAGTATTAACGTTTGGTTCAATTGTGGTTGTAAGTCGAGGACGACCTGTATATTTTAAATTATTATTTTAGTATTTTTTTTTTATTTGTGTTTTTTGTCTCAAGGTAGTCCTGAGCTGTCGAGATACCTTTCGGAGAGGTTCCACCCCAGGGGGGGCAGGCGATCCTGGGAAGCGCAACCAAACTGCACAAAATACTGACCTTCGGCAGCCGAGGCCGTGCCCTGCGAGGCCGAAGCGGCCTGGGTCTGCTCATAGATGGAGAGCAGCTCATCGTCCTCCTTGGCGAAGTAGACGGGCACAATGGTCTCCATGGCCAACATCTCTGGCTCAATCTCCATGAATTGCTTCGGGCGAGAAGAAGAGGGAGTCAACCTCAGCGTGGCAAAGAAGGGTAACTAAGGCTTATCGTCACAGGATGGAGTGGGAAGAAGTCATTCAAGGCCAACCTTCTGAAGATTGATTGCAGGGTCTGCCACCCCGGTTTTTCCCCTCAAACTTGGCCCCTTGGAGAGGAGCGGGCTTCAATTCCCGGAATTGCGCAGCCAGCCAATCAATTTTGGGGAACTGAAATTCATCCGTCTTAAAAGGGGCCAAGCTTAAGGAATATCCCACCTGTATCGTTCCCGACACACTGTGGGATCCAGCCTCTAATCAGAAAACTTCCAGTGCAAGAGGAAAGCATTCCGTTCCACTGATTGACAGTTCTGATGGACTGGCCCCTTGCAAGGAATCCATTACATTTATGGAGGAACTAGCTTGATACCCGTGCTTCGCTCCAAAACTATGTAGTTGGGCTTAGTTTTTGGGGAAGAAAATAAAGGGGGGGGGGATTGTGCCTCTGCCTACCAGCATCCATCGGTATTCATCTGGCTAGCGTCCTGCCAGTGTGTGAGTTGAGGGCTGTTTGGAAACTGAAACAGTATTTGCTGTGCGAGCAAGGAGACAGCAAGGAACCTGGGCGTGGTTTAACTCAACTGTTCTGTACGAAAGCTGCTGGTTACTGTGAAACTAAAACTGAAACTGAAAGAGTTTTCTTTTCAGGTGGGGAGGGGGAGTAGAACTCCTTAGCATCAGAGCATGTTAATAATAATCATATAGGAAATACTAATGCTCTGATGGTCACTTCAAAAAATCCTTTCTTTAGTGAGCACCTAAAAGCCAAGAAGAACACACATGCCAAATATCAAGTTTGTGGGCTTTATGGTTCTGGAGATTTTGTGATGATGCTGAGCGGTATTTCGCTTTTTATATATATAGATTATAATGCAGATCGATGTTTAACTCTTAGAAAAACAGGATTGTATTACTGTATTTATTTCTGTCTGATAAATGCGGAAGCAAGGGGATGCAATCCTGTACAGGCAGTCCTCGACTTACAACCATTCATTTAGCAACCGTTCAGTTACAACAGCACTGAAAAAATGTGACTGAGGACTGTTTTTCACACTTACGACCGTTGCAGCATCCCCGTGGTCCTGGGATCAACATTAGATGCTTGGCAACCTACTCATATTTATGACGGTCGCAGGGCCCCAGGGTCACATGATCCCCTTTTGCGCCCAAGCAAAGTGAACGGGGAAGCCAGATTCACTTAACAGCGTTACTAACTTAACAACTGCAATGATTGACTTACCGTATTTTCCCCAGTATAAGACGCATTTTTTTCCACCCCCAAAAGGGGATGGAAATATCTTATACACCAAATGGTGCTGAAGCCTCCGTTCCCCCACCGCCGCCGCCGCCCCCGCTTTGGCCTCGGCCTCCCAGCAATTTGCCTCCTTGCAGCAAACAGCCGGTTTCAGCTTCAACACAGCCTGATAAGCCCAAGCAGCTGATTGTCGGTTCGATCGGTCTGCCAATGATCAGCTGTTTTAGGCTGTAGGGATTGCCTTCGCCTATTGCAGCCTCCGTGTGCCCCATTTTCGTCCTCCGCACCCCAGTTTTAAATGGGGAGCCTTGCTCACCACTACAGTTAGCCTTCAACTTACAAGCATTCATTTAGCGACCGTTCCGTTGCAACGGCTCTAAAAAAAAAATGGACTTACGACCTGTCCTCAACCAATTTTACCACCTTCCTTGCCACGTTTGTTAAGGGAATCGTGGCAGCTGTTAGGAACACGGTTGTTAAGCGAATCTGGCTTCCCCATTGACTCTGCTTGTCAGAACTGTTGCTGAAGGGGATCACGTGACTCCGGGAACATGCAACCGTCATAAATGAGAGTCAATTGCAAAATGGCCAAAGTTTAGTCCCGTGACAGTGGGGATGCTGCGACAATCTTACGGGTGAAAACTGGTCATAAGTCACTTTTTTCAGTGCTGTTGTTACTTAGAACAGTCACTAAATGAACTGTTGTAGGTCGAGGACTACCAGTCTTATGAAGGAAACCAGCCTGGTGATGTGGCTCAAACATCAGGCAGAGTTGACTGGATCTTGTTCAAAGAAAAGATGTGTCAGATGGCTTCACATGCGGCAGACGGCTACACCGCAGGAGGAGGGTACAAATGCCGGACGTAAGATTTAGCCCCTCCTGCCACTCTCGGTCATAAAAGGAGACTCACCCGGATGATATCCTGAGGCACCGATGCCATGTTGTGCGGCAGGATGATCACCACGGCGCCGGCCGACTGGCGAAGAGCTTTCTGATACTGTTCATAGGAGAAGTCCATCAACCGGATCATCACACAGCGGCGGCTTAGCACATCTGCCTCTACGGTGCGCGCCTCGGTGTTTAACACGGCGTTCCGGGTGCCTGTCAAAAGGAGAGGAGGGGCTTAGCGACCTGGGATCTTGGATCCACAGAATAGCAACAGCAATAGCACTTAGACTTATACACCACTTTTACAGCCCCTCTCTAAGCGGTTTACAGAGTCAGCCTCTTGCCCCCAACAATCTGGGTCCTCATTTGACCGACCTTGGAAGGATGGAAGGCAGAGTCAACCTGCAGCCTGGTTGAGATTTGAACTGCCCAATTGCAGGCAGCTGGCAGTCAGCAGAAGCGGCCTTCAGCACAGCACTCTAACCACTACGCCACCGTGGCTCATAGAAACGGAGCTTTTAGAAGAAAACCGCAGCTCTTGGGCCGGGCCGGGCAATTCATTTTCCCAAGGGGTCACACGAGGAACTGGGACTGTTGTGGAGGGCTGAACCAATAAGGCCGCAAAGGTGCGTGTCCATGCATGGATGCATATATGTAAATTGACCCCCAAACCCTCCTCCCCCCCCCAAAAAAAAACCCTGTCAAAGCAAAGCAGACACGGACAGCCAAAGGGCTGGATGTCACATAGAGGCTGTAAAATGCTCAAATCTGCTCTTTAGGGGTTTTTACTGCAATTGATATACCTTGTTCTCTGGTTTGTAGGACTTGCAAATATGTGTGGAATTGGATTTTCAATTATCCCAGTTAGTCAGGGGCCTGTGTAAATAGAAAAGTCTCACAGCCATATGAAAGGGCTTTCCCCCAGGCTTAGAGGCTTAAGAGCCTTGGTGGTACAGTGGTTAGAGTGCTGTACTGCAGGCCGCTTCTGCTGACTGCCTGCAAATTGGCAGTTCGAATCTCACCAGGCTCAAGGTTGACTCAGCCTTCCGTCCTTCCGAGGTCAGTAAAATGAGGACCCAGATTGCTGGGGGCAACAGGCTGACTCTGTAAACCGCTTAGAGCAGGGGTGGGCAAACTACGGCCCGCGGGCCACATCCGGCCCGTTGGTCATTTTAATACGGCCCACCTCTGGAAAAAAAAAATTCCCCTCTGAAAAAAAAATTGGGGCCGGCCAAAAGAGACCCCGCGCCGCGCGCCATAAAATCGCACACACAACATGGAGCTGGGCAGCCGCTTCCCTGGTGGCGGGGCCGAGGTCGCCGCCCAGGGAACGCCCACTGCTTTCCCTCTGCCCGGGCTCCGCTCAGGTGTCCGGCTGGGGCTGTCAGGAGTTGCTACCGCCGGCGCAGCTCCGCGCGGCTCCAGTCCCGCGTTGCCTCGGGAAGGGAAAGGCAAAACCAGGAGCCGCTGAGCCTGAGCCCCCGGTGCCGCTGCTGCCGTTGCAAAGCGCCACCGTGGCTCTTCCTTTTTGCCTTTCCCTTCCCGAGGCAACGCGGGACTGGAGCCGCGCCGGCGATAGCAACTCCTGACTCAGGGGGCCTCCGAGGGGAGGGGAAGGAGAAGAAGTGGGGGGGAATTCCCCAAAAATCTTGTGCTGACCTGGCCCGTCTGTCAAATTTTAAAAGTCAATGTGGCCCCCGAGCCAAAAAGTTTGCCCACCCCTGGCTTAGAGAGACTTTAGAGTGCTACTGCTATTAGAAGCAGAGGGAAGGTGTGTTGGGATACAAGGGTGTAATGGTATGTGGGAGACAGAAGAGCCACCACCAGACAATGGTCTGAAGGAAGAAAAGGGGAGACAGCGACGCAGAAGGGATCCTCCCTAGTTTTCCAGACAGCACAGGCAGTCCTCAACTTACAGCAGTTCCTTTAGTGACCATTCAAAGTTACAAGGGCATTGAAAAATGTGGCTTGTGGCCATTTTTCACAGGTATGGCCTTCGCAGCATCCCTACGGTCATGTGATCAAAATTCGGATCCTGGGCAGCTGGTTCATATTTACGACTGTAGTGGGGTTGCAGGGCCGGGGTGACCCCCTTTTGCGAACTTCTCACAAGGGGGAAGCCAGATTCACTCAACCACCAGGTTACTAACTCATCAACTGCAACGATTCACTTAATGACTGCGGCAAGAAAGGTCATAAAATGGGGCAAAACTCACTCAACACAATAAATTTTGGGCTCGATGGGGGTCTTAAGTCAAGGACTTAAAAGCAAGGGATGGGAAGGTTAACTTCAGACTTGCAAGATTCTGTCAACGGAACCTTATAATACAGATAGTACTCGACTTAACAATCATTCATTCAGTGAGGCTACAAAGGCAAAGAACAGGGACTTAGAACCAGTCCTCGCATTTACAACCGTTGCAGCGTGTGATTAAAAAAAACAGGTTAGCATTAGGCCAGGGGACTCCAACCTTGGCAACTTTAAGACTTGTGGACTTCAACTCCCAGAATTCCTCAGCCAGC